CCGGGGCTCGAACCCTCGACCTCCCGCACAACACAATCCAGCGCTCTAACCAGTTGAGCTAACCGGGAGGCAGGGAATGCTATCTTAACATTCCACCATAACATTCCACCAAACAGTAAAGCACTTGAGTATGAACGAAACTAGATAACGCGTATATCTTAAAATAAATATTTTTCAAAGGTTAAACTTATTGTATTCCCTGTTATAATCATTGCAACATATTGCTGATAAGAAAGGAAAAGAATTCCTAAACACTGACAACTATTTAAACATATATACTTGAGGGACAAAGATAAGCTTTAATGTTTATAAAAGTTCAGACTTAATTTGGAATCCCACATCTTCAACCGATCAGTTCAGGTCGGGATTGAGAACAGTGCATTACGGATATGGCAAATAAGGGTCTTTTGCTGCTGCTATTGGTTTCCGCTCTGGTTGTACATGTAGCAAGCAAAGCTAATGCTAAGGTTGGTACCTACGTAAATATATCTCGGCGTTGCACATTTGCATATATTTTAAATTAAAATTTTAGAGTGCTATCGCTGATAAAACATACAGTTTCTCCCCCGCTACGTATTTTTATCAGTTTGGCCGATTTTTCTTTACTCGAAAATGTTTTCAGGCTATTGCGTAAGAAGAAATAATTTAACTCCGAATCGTCGGATAGATCTTCGTATATAGATTTTGCGGCCGTTCTTAAAAGAAAACAAGGAATCTGCGCGCATACAAGCTGTTGTGTTGCATTCATTTCCGCCAAGTGGAGCTGACCCCTACAATATCAAAGGAATTATAATTATAACCTGTGTAGTATTCTTTGTTATTAGGGTTGGTTTTCCGAACGAAAGTGAAACTCAGAGTTCTAGAAATGCACTTGTAGATACAATAACTGGTTAAATCCTTCGTGGCTTTGTTCGATGGAAAGTGGTTTGATAATCGCACTACAAACATTTGAAAACCACTGAAAATCTAAAATGCTAATTTATCGTATTTTATAAGGCCCTGTCCACACTGATGCGTTTTTGTTTGAAAAGGCATTGATATGTATGCGTTTTGCCCTCCCGTCCACAGTGATATGCTCGAAAACGCTGAGCGTTTTCATCGAAAACGGATCCTTTTGAAAACGCTATTGAAAGTGAATCGTTTTAAAAACGCTACGGCATCCGTATCAGTGTGTACACTGAAAACGCATCGTTTACAAAACGATGACGTCACTGTTATCCTTCGCTTCCACGCCTGCTGTAGTCGCTCGAGTATGTCCGCATATTTGCTTTGAACGGCGATTCCCAATCGACGCTTTCGTATTTTGTCGATAGGTTATACTCGTTTGTTACGGTCAAAAGAAGTTCAACCTTATCATCTGTCCAGATAAAAGCGTTTTGAACTGATGTTTTCTTGGCATTTTGTCGAGTCTTCTTTGACGTAGTCATTTTGAAGCGAACAATGTGCTGAGGTGTTTCGTTTACACTTAATTTCGCGCCTGCGGGAAACGCGACAAAGATCGCAGTCGCGTTTCTTTAGTTTAGAGCATGCGCAGTTTGATCAATATGACCGTATTCGAGTTTTCAACCGTCCACACTGACATGCTCGAAAACGCCATGAAAACGCTAGTGTGGACGCAGATCACTCGATGCGTTTTTACACCTATCGAAAACGCATTCAAACAAAAACGCATCATTGTGGACATGGCCTAAGCCAGGTAGGTCTTTAATTTTGCCCTTTGTTAAATATGAAAATTTGAAAATTAGAGAGTCAGCAAAACACCAACATGCCGACCGAGAGAAACTCCCCCTGGGGGCTGGTAAAGCAATTCTTGATACCAACTTATTTCGACGTAACAGACAGTATCTGGAATCCGGGGCAAAAGTTTTGAGTAAATCCGTGATTAATTGTCATATCTTTTAAACCCTAAAGTCCTTTTTCAGCCAGAGACCTTTTGTTCCTCTACTGAAGGGTTTCATTAAAAGTTAAAGCGCTGATTGTATTTCGGTAGAATGACTTTAAGAATTAAACGCAATCATATCAAGGCATGCGTACCTTTTCCATCCATACAGCACAAAGGTCAGGGTTTTGTTTGTCTTCCGAGGGGCCACCCATGTAAACCTGCGTCGTGGTATACTCCGAAGAGAAAGAAATGCTGCGGCGGACCAAGCAACTGTGATTGCCTCGATTTCAACCGGTAAGCAAGTTTTAAATTTTCTTTTTCTTTTTTCTCCATTCAGCTGTAAAAGAAAGGTACCAGCAATCAAGGGCACATTTACAGCTGAGGAGCCGAGATCACGCTCCACGTGCGCTCCAAGTGAACTCTAAGTGCACTCCCTGCGTCCTCTTAGCGTGCTTTGTACTCGGCATATAGTTTGCGCTCTCTACCAGGCCTGTGTCAGGTATTCGGTCAACGAAGACGGGCGAAAAGCGGAATGAGAATCCCAATTAAGGGATCTGTCTTTATTTATCGCCAAGTGGGAGGGGGGAGGGGGAAGAAGGGGGGCTCCGAGTGTTTTGGTTGTGCCACGATAAATTTTTACCCGATCCCCAATAGAAAACCTTTGTAGTATATCCATTGGCAGTCAATTTTCTGTAGTTCCCCCTTTATACTGTTAGACAGTGACGACTGTTCCCCCTTCACTCCCTCTGAAAACCATGTGAACCCCCCCCACAAAAGACCCTCTGACCACTCCCCTTCAGGGCCATAAATAATAACTGGTTTCTTAGTGTTTCGGGAGGGGTCCCTCCTTACTTTTCTGTAAGAACTCCATATCCAGTGATGCTTTGTTGAAGCGTGGTAGATCCTTTTCGTAATTCTTGACAATTTTCAATATTCTTGCTCACCTTGCTTTTCTGTGTGCTCGTCATCGCCAAATGATTGCTTGGAAAGGCTACTGTCTCCTTTGTACTCGATCGCTAGGGGGAGGGACTGAAAGAAGATCGAGAAATCAGACACAGGAGGGCGCGTGCGCGCTTGGCCTCAAAAAGGTTGCGTCACTGCCTCGTACCCAAGCCCTTTCTGCTGAGGTGTGCGAAAAAGGAAGCAAACATGACACAGATTTTACTTATTCTCGTGATCCCTCGTCCTTCGAGCTCGTAAGCAATCTCTCAAAAAATTCACGCCCCTCGTTTTCCATTCTGTCTTTACTCATTCCATGCGTCCATTCTGAATGGAATTATAATACATTTGTTCTTGCAGTAGTTGCATTTGTCGGTAGCGGCGTACAACTGCACCTGTAGCTGGACACCAACGACTGGAAATGAACCAAGGACAAGAATACGGCCGTCAGCTTGAGCAAGAGTTTTCATAGCCATAAGGAACTTGATTTTTCATACTGGGAACTTTGGTCTGGGAGAAAATCAATGTCAATTAGGTATTAAATAGCTGTGCATTAAAAGAAATTGCAATTAAAAGGTGCCTCGTTTGTTAGTTCAATCTGCCCGGACATCCTAGACGTATTACTAATAAAGGTTTTTCTGGGGGAGACCTACCGATAAGCTCAATACACACTAGTCGGTTTATTTTTCTGGATCTCGCCTTTTCCCCTCAAACAGAACTGGTATGTAAATCAGTCACTTATCTTTATATCATCCTTCGCCGGATGCACACTGGTTTCTCTAGAGTAGTGTAAGGAAATTAGACAGGCTGGGTTACTAAGGCGAACACGTCGAACGCTGGTTGCTCACGGAGATCAATGACACTTTACTTTAACAGCGACGACAGTCATGGGTTAAATTCAACAGTGCTTTGAATTTTTTAATTACGATCCTCGTATAATATCGCTTACGGATCTTCTAGACACTTATGACTTCACTACCAATAGGTGGCCTCTTCCAATATTTTGTAAATTTAGAGATCGCTGCCAAAGAAACGTCCGTTAGAAAAAGAGGCAAGTCGAAATTTTTATCCAAAGGTAGCGACGTCGACCAACAGACTACAGGAATGGTTCCTAAAATCGCTGTCGTTTCATACGACGAAGAAGAGTTGAGCGATCGTGAAAATGGAGGATCACATTCCTTGTTGAACGAATGGACCGAAAGCAGGGAAGATGAATCATTCGAAAATAAACATTTAGGCAAACGGAATGGTGATATTTCATATTCATCTTCATCACACGGACATTTGAATGGAGATATTTTTAATGAAAGTTCCGATCAATCGATTCCGTTGCTGCAGGAACAAGGAATAGATGAATTTAAAACTGAAATAGAGGGATCCAGTGATATAAATTTAGAGGAAGGATCCTTTACCATTGGACTGCAAGTGTTCTTTCCATTTCTGATCGCAGGATTTGGCACTGTTTCAGCTGGAATTCTTCTCGATGTTGTTCAGGTAAAGCTTTACTGTAGTTCCCTTTCTTCGACAACAATATTATTATGATAACATTCTTATACTTACACTAATTGTGTGAATTTTGTTAAAAGGAATAAGGTGAATAATTATTTTTGAAAACTAAAGTAATGATTAGAAACCTATTTGTGGTCAACAATGGGTGAAATTACGCAAACGTTGGTTAAATTTTTTTTTATCTTTTTCTGTTGCGCTGTTGATATATGATAATCAGATCGAATGAAAGGAGAATGAAATCAAAGGTCATAATCAAATTCAAAGGAGAATTAAATCAAAGGTCACAGTAAATGGCAGCGTACTTTATGTAAGGAATATCTCCTTTTGTAAAGAATGCTACCTGGCTGAATAACCGTTTAAAACCCTTAAACCCCCAGAAGTGATTAACCTGTAATTTCTCCCCATAACATCCATGCACAGTCCGAAAAAAACAAAAAGGTAATGAGAATACTCAAGCTTATCAAGTAGAAGTTGTCATCTTAATCTAACATCAAATTCTTGTTACTAATTTACAAGGAAATGTGGGGCAGCTAGAGCGGAGAATTGATAAATATATCAGATCATGGGAGTTAAAGGAACAACTGTTTAATACCTCCCAACCCCTGAGTCAAACATGAGAATAAAAGAATTCATCGCAAATTCCAGAAGCACTTGATTGTTAAACAGTCTCCTTGTACATTGTAGGTTCAGTTAACGTTGTTCCTTTGGAAACATATAGAGAGCAGTATGGTGACATAATGGTGTAAATAGTGTCATAAGTTTTGAATAATTCTCTTGTTGCCTCCTCGGTTTATTAGTACAAGCTTTCAGAGAACCTACAAATGTTATCAATCCCAAACAACCCATGATTATAAAATTATCTTTTTTTGATAATGAATTAAATGTAGAATTTCTTCTCAAGCCTTTTTTTGTTATTTTGGTTTTTCAGCATTGGCAGGTTTACAAAGACATTTCAGAAATTTTTATTTTGGTTCCTGCTTTGCTTGGATTAAAAGGAAATCTAGAAATGACATTAGCATCAAGACTTTCAACTGCGGTAAGTAAATGAAAAGATCACAGTACAAGGTACTGGTAGTTACCTTGTGAGGTTAAATTTAACATCACTGACAGCACCAGTCACTGGAAGCAAATCCTGTGTTCTGATTGGCTATCTGAGCCCATCTTGCCTGCTTTGGATTGCCTGTTTTGATCCTGCACAAGATCATATTCATTGAATACCTTGCTGTTGAGGAAATGTCTTCAACTCTCTTTGATGTCAGATTAGATGAGATGTTATAACATAACCAAAGTAGAGCACGCGGTCTGATTGGTCAATTTAGCGTCCCCCATTTGCCCATGGGTGTACGCTGCTGATGTGAGCAAATGAAAAGACTGTTTTTCTGTGCATGCTTGTTTTTTCTGGTCACATAAGATTTGTTAAATAAAAGGGAACTCTTTAGCTACAATGTATCAATGTTATGTTATAAAACAAATGGTAAACACCACAGCGTACACTATTGAGTTATGGATGCACTTGGGAGGTTTGCTAAGCACTCAAGAAGCTAGAGTCGCTCTTGGCTATCGCCTTGCACGACTCTTACACTTCTTTCTTGCTTAGCAACCTCCCGCGTGCATCCATAACTAAATAGTGTATGCTGTGGTGTTTACCATTTGTTAATTCCTAACATTTTTTTTTTTTTTGCACCTAGGCAAATGTAGGGAACATGGATTGTGCAAAACAGCAATGGAAATTGATAGGAGGAAACCTTGCATTGATACAGGTAAGTTTATCTTTAAACAACTCCAGGTACCAAGCCTGTTTTGTTAGCCACCACAGGAATTTTTCCCTACACCTAAGGTAAACATAAGAGACTGATCAACTGACCTTGGTAACATTGCACAACAGCACCTAAAAAGTAATGGGTCATTGTCAATCTATTTATTTTCTTTTTCACAATGGGTACAATTTATGTTCCTGAATGCCATGAAAAGGAAGCAAAATCTTCCACAGAAGAGAAGTTTTCAGTACTTTAGTTTCTCCATTTGGAGAAAACAGAGGATCTATGTAAGTTTTTGAGATTTGGCAGGTATAGTTACTTGTAAATGCCTTCAAGAAATGCGACATGCAGCTTGCTTCCTGGTTGAATTTGTTAGCAAAACATTTCACCATCATTGCTAGCAAACACAGTCCTTTTGAAGGCTGCTCTGGCATAGCCAATCAGGAACTATGCTCACTTTTAATTAGTAATTCTCTTTTGAAATGTGATGTGTTTTTGCGCTTAAAGGTTCAGGCTACAGTCGTTGGGGCATTGGCGGCATTTGCAGCAGTTGTCATGGGATGGGTACTTGATGGAGAATTCAACATTTATCATGCCACTCTGCTCTGTGCCAGCAGTTTGGTTACGGCAACACTAGCCAGTTTGATTCTTGGCTCTGTGATGGTTGCAGTTGTTCTTTGTTCCAGAAAATGTAACATAAATCCTGACAATGTAGCCACACCCATCGCAGCCAGTTTAGGAGATCTCATCACACTCGCACTTTTGTCCGCAATAAGTCGATTCCTACATAGTTGTATTGGTAAGTTTTAGATAAATTATTCAGTGAGTTCATTCTGTTATTAACTCTTTAATGCTCCCCTCTAGCTGCTACACATTTAATTGTAAATAAGTTAGAAGAATTTGGTTTTTCCCAATTTAACTTCAACCAAAACTGCATGCTACTTCCAAAAGAGTTTTTTTCTCCTCGACTTTTTCGGTTCTTCAAACAGAGTAGAGAGAGAAAACACAAATGTTTTTCATGAAACAGAGCAGATATAGGGTAAAGAATTTCCTGTATAGGTGGGAAAAATTGTGCTTAAGTTTAAGTTTGTTTTGGAGTGGACCAAAATGATAAGCAATATCTTCAACCTTCCCCTTCCAAGATCTCACAAGCAATTCTCCGTACTGTCAACCATAAAATTCTTATAACATTAGTTTGGAGAATTTTGTTATTGGATCAACTAATATGGTAATCGCCTAATCTTCAATTTGTCATCACTTGTCTGCTTGATGCTGTATTGATATTGTAATGCGAAATTCTGTCTTGATCACTTGTGGTGGTTTACAGGTTGAGGCAAGTTTTATTTTATAAGTAACTGTGATTCCGATTGAGTTTCAGGCAGATTACAGAATGGTATTTCTTTTCATAGATTCTGAAGCTGGCACACATCACTGGATAGCACCTGTCATCTGCTTGGGATTCTTCCTCATTCTTCCCCTGTGGGTGTACATCACACATCACAATACCTTCACACATGACGTGCTCTACACTGGATGGACCCCTGTGCTTAGTGCAATGGTTATTAGCAGGTAATGTTATCACAGTAGTCTTTCCCATCTTATCAGTGTGTGTGTGTGGTGTGTGTATGTGTGTGTGTGTGTGATGTGTGTGTGTGTGTGTGTGTGTATGGGAGGAGGGGAGGTTGCTTGCACCAAATGTTCTCTCAGTCTGCAGAAGTGCCGATCTTTCATGGCACTCTCAATTTGTGGTTATACATAATGACATTTGAGTTGGGACGTCATACATGGCAGAGTAAGAAAATAATGCAGAAATAATCTTCTTCTTTACCATGCATGCATTGCCACGTTTTCTTCACCAAACTAATTTTTTGAATAACATAAAAGTTTGGGTTTTCTCTTTGTGTTTGTAGCACTGGGGGTCTCATTCTTGATTACGCTGTGGATAGATACCATGGAATCGCAGTCTTCAGTCCAGTGATGAATGGTAAGTTTCTCATTCATGACGTATGAACATCTCTGCGCATAATCTGTACGTCATTACCTCGAATCGAACAATTTGCTGTGTAGCCCTCCAACTCGCTCAGTAAACACATATTATCCTACCTTTTTCTTGGTCGATGTAAAAACTTTCTCATTGTTGTAACGACACTTAAATCGGAAAGCGTTCTATTTTGTATGGAAACCATTAAGTAATAATATGATAATAAAATATCGTTTGTCTGACGATATGGTCACTTATGAAGTGAATCGCAACGTTTCGACTGCATACTGCAAGTCTTCATCAGTCGAATGGATTCGGGTCTTCTTATAAAGCTGGATGCTACGCTGTGATTGGTTGGTGGTTGGTTGATTGATGTGATTGGTTACGCTGTGATTGGTGCGTTTTGATCCTCAATGTTAATGAGTTGTTCCCTAGAGCTGCAGATATGTTTCAAAAGATTGCGTTGACTTTTTGTTTTTGAACATTTTGAGTTAAAATGTCCCGGTGAGTTATACAGTCAGACGATGAATAGTTCATTGTAACCCGTGTCGCTGAAAGCCTACTGTATAACGTGTCACATGTTTAAATGGAATGCGCGTTGTTTTTTTTTAGGTGTTGGAGGTAACTTGGTTGCCGTTCAAGCAAGCCGGCTTTCAACAGGTCTGCACCAGTTAGGCAAACCTGGCGAGGTACAAGAATCGAGTAAATTCCGTGGCTGCATTGATACATTTTTTGGCTCAGGTAACCATGATTTCAAAATAACCCCTTACACGCTAACAACAGTATGCATATTCTCCATTCTAGTTTTGGTTTTATCAACTGAATTTACAATGTAAGTTGACGTTTCGAGCGTTAGACCTTCGTCGTTCGCTCTAACAAAGGGCTAGCGCCCGAAACATCAGCTATAAAACTCTTTACGGTAGCCAATTAACAGTATCAATTCAGTTGATAAAACCAAAGTTACCTTGTTACTCCCGCCGACGCAGCACTACAGTTTCTTTAGAAACCTACCCTCTTTTATTCCTTACTCTCCATACTGTTTTCTATACATTTCCTAAGGTGCTGACAAGGAGAATTTGTTTAACAATCATGATCGCCTCTGAAGAAGGCACTGGACAGGAGTGTTGAAACATCGGGTCTATGAATTGTGAATTTACAGTTGCATTCATTAAATCTTTAAACCAGAGTAGCACCAAACCGTTTCTAATCAAGAGCTTCTTTAGTTGGTGATCCTTTCCTTTATTCTCGTGACCTTTCTTTGAGATTCTGGGGGTGATATTGTAAGGAGAAATTAGATTTAAGTCACTCCCAAGTGTCAAAGGGTGAAAGTAATTTTTGCAACATTTTTTTCCTTTCCCAGGATTGCACGCTCGGACCACTCGCGTGTTGTTGTTTATGGTTATTCCTGGAAATCTGATATTTTTGTACACAATCCGTGTACTGCAGGCAGGACATACAACTTTAACGCTTTTTTTCGCTTCTGGGTATCTGCTGGCTGGTCTGATACAGGTATTTGTTAACTAGGAACCGAGTATTGAAGAAGGAAGTTATTGTTGTTGCAACGTGCATCGATATCTCTTTGAGTCCTCATGAGAATTGAATCGAACGTCAGACTTGGATTTCGCGCTTCCATTTTCTACCACCGAGCCATAGCGAGCCCTATGGTGTGTTGGTTTATATGCGGCGAGCTTCTCGGTTACTGCTTGAACCGACCTGTTGGTGAAAGCTTCTTAATGGCATTCAGTTAGTAAACCGGAACGGAAACCTCCCTCCTTTTCGCTCCATCTTAGCCTGTTCCAGGCATTACGATTAAATAAAACGGAGCGTAAAGATAGAGAGATTTAGCATCGCTCAAATTTTTTCATCGCGACAAAAATTTAGAACACATCTTTCTCCACCAGCGCATTGTTTTTACGAACAGTCTCAAAATTTTTCGTTTCGCAGGTCGCCATTCTTCTCCTCACTGCTGATTGGTTGGTTCACTGGATGTGGAAACGAGGCAAAGATCCCGACAACTACAGTATCCCCTACTTGACTGCACTGGGTGACTTACTCGGCACCGGGCTCCTGGCCGTGTCATTCCATCTTTTGTGGCTCATTGGGGACCGCGATGCTGACGTGGGAGATTAGCGGGTTCATCCCACAAATTGATATGTTCCTCGTGTACGCAAAATTAAATATCTTATTTAAAGAAAGTTAAAGTTTCCCCAGAAACCATCTAACTTTTATCGTCGCCAATACAATGCATACACGAATTTATGACTATAAACGCTTTTTGAGAATCTTAAGGGTAATCTAACCTTTCTGAGATTGTCTTCTTGATATGTGAGAGAAATCTTCCGGAGGATGCAGCTATTTTGAATATTGCTTCGCAGCCTGGCCGCTTACCTGTAACTCGAAGAGGCATCTTTCAGGAGAACGGAGGCAAGCGCAAAGTGTGAGTGACACGTGTTATTTTTTTGCGCTACTACTATCGTGCGTGACTCGCGTTCGCCTAGCGCTCGTCTCTATTCGTCTGAAAATACAAAAAGTTTCGCCTGTTCTGCAGGGCTACTTGCCAGTTCTTTTTGCCATCTCTTTGGGATCTGTTTGGACTATCCACAGTTACGCAAAAATGCATTCCTGACTCAATTGATGATATTTTTGCGGTAATCATAGAACTTGCTATGTGTACAACCGGTTTGCTTGGTGGTTTTTAAAAAAGCTGCATTTGAAGTCAACTTTTCAATACTTTTGAGGAGAATTTTTGAACGGTTACAATCTGTTTTACAATCGCAAAACGCGGAGATATAAATTATATGGTTTCTGAAGCATACATGCATCTCCGCTTAAATAGTTTTTCCATATTTTGTTTGTGTTGTTTGAATATGTCATGTATTCATAAACAATTTTTCAGCGTAAAGCAGGAAGATGAATTAGGCAAACGAAAGTTTCATTTCACCGAAACGTATTTAACAAACAGTAAGTTAAAATTCTCACTTTAAAGTATAATATAAAAATTTACATTGCAAAGATTGGTATTACAAATTCAAATAATTGCTATCTGTTTACAATACATTTTTTACAATTCTTTACAACGTGGGGTTCCTCTGAAATCTGAATATCATCCTTTTCAAAAAAGATGTTAGCTGAAAAATGAATCATGAGTATTTTTTCAATTAAGAACAGTTCATTGCATCTATTGGTAATATGAATTGAAGTAATATAATTTGAAAGTCTCTACCTTTTGACTTTTTACCGCTGAAATTAAAGTATTTGTGAAGAATTATGAAGTCAGGATTTTGTAAATCATTCTGCAATTTCGTTCTTTCCGTGTTGCACGATAGAAAACTTCATAAGTTTTTGTATTCATTTAGTTTCCGTATCATCACATTGTGCCAGAATGGAGGGAGGTACACCCCCAGAGTTCTAAAATCCTGCTAACGTCAATTTTTTTTCGCCGATTCTTTTTTTATCACTTGCGGGACGGATTTCGCCGATAAACGGGTGCTTGAAGTGTCTCGGGAATGTTTTTGACAGAAGTCCAGGACTTAACTAAAGTTCAGCTCCGCAGATTTTATTTGAATGTATACTAGCGAGGGCCTTATCCATAAACGCAAAAGTTAGAGCCAATTTCTACAGCATAATAAACAAAACCATATTTTGGTCCTACTCTGAAGCTTTCGTCTGTCCATCGAGGCTTCCGCACAAGGGGGCGAGGTCACGTACCCCATTTGCCTGGTTGAACCGTCCAATGCAGTATTTCTTTTTCAAGGAAGAATTTCGTTCTGATCGTGGTAAAGTTGTACATAAGGTAACTACCACGTTAATGGTCGAGGCGTGTGGAGAACTACGTTAAGTTTAGCTTAGGACCATGTTGCATCGACAACTTTCTTGATTCAAATAACTAAGTTTAACGCGATTGCTTTCTTCAGTAGGTTCGTAAATGAACTAAGGAAAATTTCTGACGACCTACTGATCAGGTTATCAGTGTTTTATTTTCATATTTTTTTACAACAGGAATAAGGCTAATTTCCTCATTGACAGCAAGAGGAAATACAATTGCTATAAACGAATTCAATTTTTTGTCCACGATAAGCGGGTGAAACAAAATAAACCAAAATATGGTCAAGCTTAGAGTCACGCAATCTCTAGGTCACGCAATCTCTAGGTCACGCAATCTCAGGGTGCCGCATTTCCAAGAAATTTTAAGTTCCAAGGTTTGAGACTTAGTACTAGTTAAATTTAAGCATCTGCACACTTCTCGAAAAAATGCTGTCCTCTCCACACGTCGCTACGATCTTCTTGTCTTTGGTCAAAGCAATATCACGCGCGCCTGAGACTGCTTTCATCGACGATACTTGAGTTCCGTCGGGGCGAAGAACGTGAATCTCGCGCGGGATCCCGTGGTAAGCCAACAAAGTGTTGTTTGACTTGTCAAGAGCGAGCCTGATTGGATACGTGATATCAATGCCCATGTTGTCACGATGGCCCAAGTTATGCTTGTCCTCATCGAAGGTCTGCAATAACGAGCCTTTTTCGTCGAACTCCTTAATCGAGGTGGTGTTTTTGGAGCCATTGGAATCCGAAACGTAGAATTTTCCATCCAAGAAAATCGCTTTTCCCGGGCTGGCAAGATGTTCTTCACCGAGCTCCATGTCTAGGCTGTACGCTTCGTTGTCGTTCGCACTGTAGACTTGAATGCAAGGGCGGGTTCCATTACAGGTCACCAAGATGCGTTTGTCATCGTCCACAGATATGCTACTGAAGCTGATGTCTCCATCATCATCATCAACCTCCACAAGAGAGCGGATGAATCGGCCAGTGATGTCAAACATCTGGATGCTTTGAGGCTCTTCAAAGGGCCCATCGGATACAATGATGTTGTTATCAGGAAGGAAGAAGACCCCATCGGGACATTCCATGGACCCCTCACCATCTTCGCCAATCTGCAAGAAGCAGTTTCAAGGTATGAATGAGTTCAGGTTTACCCGTTTTCAAAATGATGGGGATGGGTGGGGGAGGGGTGAATCGCTTAATTGCTCACCTACTTCGCAATTATCTCATTATCACCGGGACATATGCCTTTAAAGAGTTATGTCTACCAGCGATTGGTCCATTAGCTTGTTCCAGAGGATCGATCAATTAGTATTTGCACATACGCACACAGGCTGCTATATATGAGCGAAGAACGAAAAAAGGAGGGAGGATTGGGACAGCTCGCGACTCGATCCAAGCCTCCTCCATTTTCTCTCTTCGCTACCTTTTATTTACCAACTGAACGCCACAAAAACACCATCAATCTATCAAAAATGCCTCGATGACTGTATTTTCTGTTTTGAAATTTTGGGTGGATTTGTTTTCAGACAAGAGATCGGACATGCCCCCATTTTTAAAAACCAACTCGTAGCTGAACTGGGAAATGCCAGCCTGCCTAGACAATTGTAATATATAAATAATATAGTCTGTTTACTTAGATTACCTAGTGTTTCCCTACGGTTGATCACATAATCCCTCAAGATTCATTCAGACCGAAGGGGACTGGGCTCGAAAAGATTGCTCGTTTGTTTAGTCAGAGTCTTAGAGACCGATCATAATTCCTTGCCTGGGGGGGAATCGAAAGATTTTCTTTTTCTGAGGTCATACGGGGAAACTTTCGAAGTAGACCTCTTCTGAAAACGAATTTGGAATAAGTAAGTTACCCAAATTTTTTCCAAGAAAGTAGGCACGTAGTTCAATTGTGACGCCAGTCGCGTATCCAGGGACCCGGGTCCGGGGTCCGGGGTCCGGGTTTCGGGATTCGCGTCCCCCCTCCAGCCCCCATCAGACCAAGTGGTTTTTTTTTTTTTTTTACTTCTATTCTGACACCAAAATTCTTGCAGAGGCAGGATTTTAAGTTTCTACTCAATATGAAGCATTCAAAATTTATTTGTTTTGAAATATCTTACGATAGTGTAACGATATTGCTGTTTTCTGAATCGAAGTTGAGAAACCCTCTTCCCCGCCACCTTCCATCGAAAAATTCCCGGATCTGCCCCTGACAGCTATTTGCTTTGCAACATCACTTTGTAACGCGTTACTAACCTGACAAAGAAACGACCCCTCCGGATTAAACAGCCACACGCACTCATTACCATAGTCTGTGACGGCAATATGCCCGTCCTTGCCAACGGCTACAGCACCGGGATTGAACATGCTTTTGAATTGGAGAGGTACATTTAAGGCTCGGATGACCTCAGCCGCGTCGCGGTAGTTCGCGTTGGGAGTGGCTGTTTTGTTGACAGATGGGGCGACACCGGCTGTGTTTAGCTCACTAAGAAGAGTGGGGGCCTTGCGATTGCCTTGGATGGTCGCCAGACCTTCCTCTTTGATGCTCTGCAAAATTTTCCGACACGGTGTAAGGTCAAGAAGAAAAATGGCGCGTTTCTTGTCTTTGCCTTCTCCTCCATTCATAGACAAGCTTCGTTTCTCTCTAGCCATTCCATCGTCGATCTGTTTATAAAGCGCCTTTTCCTTTTCGTCCAGCAAACCTCTCAGCTTTGCCATCATCTCAGAGAGCTGTTTTTTCATGCTTTCCTCTTGCTCCTGCAGAGGCGGGCCTGAATCTTTGTCGGTATTTCGCGTCTTTTTGCGCTCGGTCTTCTCTGGTTTTTCTTTTCTAGGCTCCCTTGGCTTTCGTTCGCTCCTCGTCTTGTTCTGGCCGCGACGAGTTTCTACAAGCCGCAAAACGCGAAAATCTGTCGGTAACATTTTGATTCCTCCCATCGGAAGGGGTAATTCTTGGCCGTCAATGGGACAGTAGATCTTGAGAGCATTCTTCTCCGCTGCAGCATCACACAGACAATCTTGACAAATCGTGTGCAGGCAAGGAAGTTGTTTGGGCTCATCTTGATATTCTTCATTGCAGACTGGGCACAAGAAACTGTCAGCTGAAGATGAACTGCTCGTTCGCGCCTTCTGAAAAAAAGCCATTGTAAATAGAAGCCTTTTTTATCCGATTTGTCCACAATTCGTTGTTTCTCGAAGAATCGTGAGAAAATACGATATTTTACCGCATAAAGTTCAAGTGGGTCGGCGCTAATGATAAAAATTTGTAATTATACGGTTGGGTGACAAAACCTTTAGTATCAGAATATGTCACCCAATCAAGATGACTGATGGTCTTTTGTTCAAAAGTCAACGGTATGCATTTCTACACTTTCTGTTTTCAAGCTGAGGGTAACAAACTTTACTATGAAGCCTCCAAGCGCCGTTGAAAGTAATGTTTCATCATTCCAGAGCTGTAAGTTTATGCATTTGTCGACAGGGGTTACAAAACGGGAAGAATAATTAACGATTGAAAGTAAATTAATTCGGATTCGACAGTGACGCTGGTAGGTCAGGGTAATGAAAACAAAATGTCCCAATGGCTTCGAAACAGTTATTTTGTGTGATCAATCGTTCTTTTTTGTGATCAAATTCAAGTTCTTTTGATACTTTTTCTAACTATAAAGTAGCAGCAGATACCAGACTGGCTTCACTTCTCGAACAAACCATAACAGATGTGTAATTGCGTTACCGTGGGAGACTAACTGTTGAAATACGCATTAATTGAGTTTGTTTACAGTACAAATTACACGCAAAATTCATTTTAAGACTTTTCAAACTTTTTTTCTGGTGAGAGTTGAGGGTTAAGGAAGCTTCGTAGCTGCTGCTAGGGGAACAATTTCTCAGCTTGTGCAGTGATCGGCGAAGAGTTCTATCCATAGTTCAAAATCTTTCAGAAAAAATGTTGAGTATTTTGATAAGAAGGCAAAATTCTGATAAAGTAGATGACGGGGGGGGGGGGGGGGTGGAAGTGGGGGAAATGAAACGCTTGTGAAACGAGTACTTTTTAGGACTAACATGTCAAAGGATTGCGTGCTTAAGATAGTTCTCCTCATACTTCCCATACTATTAAAGCTTAAGAATGCGACTCGCCTTTGTTTTTACGATAGTCCTGGGAGAGCGTAGGTGTATGCCATTAGTGGACCTGGGGCGAGTTTTAAAAGGAAGGGTAAGACTAGGGCATTTTGGTTTCGCCTCTCGCGAGGCTTGCACGGGTCTCGCGTGGTGAAAAACAAAGAAATACTATTTCTGCTACTCATTTTGTACCAGCTTCAGGCTTACCATAAAAGATGTGAAATTACACCTTGGCCCAAAAACATATATTAGTTTTACCAGCTGGATATTCTTGACAAAAAAAAATTTGTCAGCTGGGAAGGGACGTTATCGTGTGAACGAGCAAGATATGAGATAGCCGGACCTCCCAACCTCGTTCTCAGGATCTTTTCCCTTAGAAGGGAAAGGGCCCTGGGAATAAGGTAGCAGACCTCTAACAGGGGCCTGCGCCTGTGCCATGAGCCTCGGTACCAGAAAAGCCGGGCTTGGGTTAGTGATGACCTTGGCGACGCCTGCACAAATAATTTTTCTCATCACGAGAAAGATAAACGAATATAGCTTAACTTTGGTAACGCGAGAAAGATTTCACATGGTGAAACTCCCCGCTAGCTGCTAGGAGCTGCATTCCTCTCCCCAGTCCCCACACGACTCCCTCCTTCTCCCCTCCCCTCTCCCCTCCGGCCTCCCTCTCCGATTCTCTCCACAATAGCTCGCGTATTTTATCAGAAATAAAGATGCGCGGTTACCAATGGCAGAACAGTTAATAACGAACGAAGTAAAGGAGGCTGTGCCTGATAAAAGTGTTGGCGATCAGAGGAGCATTATTTTGAAAATGGTTCATATCGTTGCTGTAGGACTCTCTCTGCTGGTGATCTGGCTTGCTCAACCTGGATCAAGTAAGTTTTTTTAAATATCGGTTGATTGTGAAGCCTTCAACAGACCCCTTGAATAGCTTGTATGAACGTTTTTACCTCATCGTAGGTCTCAGGGGAATTCCCGGCCCCTTTTTCTTTTGAAATTTACACGTTTCATATGCACGCAAATTAGAGGAAATTTAAAAGATACAGCTCTCTAAAGTATTTTCACAAGAGATATTTTTGGAAAACAAAAAATACAAGATAAAGAAGTCATAGTATTATTATTATATGTGATGTGGACGAAGCTACCTCTTCCAATATGATATATTTATTGTTGCTTACAATGATCCATCGTTTTAGTCGACTGTTATTAGAATTGACTTATGTTCCCATATTTTTAATATTTATGTGATATTATTTTCTATTTTGTCCTGCTTGCTTTACAATCCATAATCAAGTTTTTGCTTCCTTGTGTTAATTTGTTACATCTACCCATGAATTTCTTTTCCCTATTTAGGTCTGTTTTCATGGCATCCTACTCTGATGGCCTTGGGTGTGAGTAGAATCTTATCCATAGTTGATTACCAGCTCGATAACTTAGGGAAATTTAAATCTTAAATCCATCGTCCTCTTTTATACTTTAATATATGCCTGTGGGACTTCAACATTTTAGGGTACGTACATAGTTTATGGTAGATTACTTCCTACAGAATGACTTCCTACAAAGCACTCTGTAACTTGGTTGACTACTTGCTATAGAGATCAAAACATGCTTTCTCCTTGCATCTCCTGGTAAGACCCAGGGAAAATGTGATAGTGAAGAAGTAGTGCCATCCACAAGTGTTGATCTAGGTTGAGATTATAACCAAAGTATTTGTTTGGGAGGTTTTTGAGGTTTAAAATTTGATAGATGATAAGAAAAAAAAAATGGAACCTCAGGGGTCAAGGAAAAGGTTTTGGAAAAGTCTAAGTTATAAAAATAGAAAAAAACTGAGAAACATAAAACCATGGTCAAGTACTTGTGAAAGAATGGTTTGTGGCTGGTGTGACATGGCATTTCATTTCAGTAAAGACACTCCTCAGATACCTTTACATGAAAATGTTTTCCACCAAACTGGTTGAGCATTGCACTCCGACACGGAATGCAAATATGGCGACCAATTTAAGTTGCCATGGTTCTGGACTCACTAGCCTCTCACACATGTAATAATCCTATTGTGTTTCCACTTGAAGACGAGGTTAGTGGGTCCAGAACAATGGCAATTCAAATTGGACGCCATATTTGCATTCGGTGTATAGATGTGTTTGCAAATTCAATACATGTAGAATACAGATCTGGCTGTCTGCTACAGAAAGATTTTAAGACCTCATGTTTGTAGGTTACAACAGAATTTAGCAAAAACCATTCATAGACTGGGGCATGCTATAATTTAGCTTCTATATTATTTATATTTAAGGCACATTAAGAAGTATTGTAGTGGCTTATTTGAGAATTTTCTATTAATCTTTGTCTTATTTTCAGTTTTGCTTCCTGATGATTGAAGCAATCCTGATGTTTTCACCCCAAAGCTCTCTCATCGCCTCGGTTCCTCGTGCTACCAAGGTCAGACTACACTGGATACTTCAAACCTCAGCTGTGATTGCTGCCTTGGGAGGCTTTGCTGCCATCTACTACAACAAAAATATTTACAACAAACTCCACTTTCAAAGCTGGCATGGATGCCTGGGGTTATGTACTGTGATTGTTATCTGTCTCCAATCTCTGCAAGGTGTTGGGGTATTGTACTCAAAGCTACCACTTGCCAGCATGTTGAAGCCTAGACAACTGAAACAACTGCATGCCATGTGTGGGTCATTGGTGTATCTTTTTTCCTGCGTCACTCTTTGCTTGGGTTTTTATTCAAACTGGTTTGTGAAGAACACAAACATCTATGTCCAGGGGGGGAGTGTGATATCAGCTATATGTCTGAGCAGTATTGTGATTGGACAAGTTTATACAGAGTATGGCTTGAAGAGACATCCAGGAAAATAATTTAGTTAAAAATAGGCACAGCTGACATCTCTGTTAATGGAGAGCCCTAGAAAGCATCAAAAATACTTTGGAAAATATGCTACAAGTGTAGTCTCTTCAATAATATTCCAAAAAGGAAAGACTAATTATAAAACCACTGTTTGTCAGTGATTTACCTGTAGTCAACTCACTTGAAAAAAAACATCCACTGTAATTGCAAACAAGCACTCCAAAGGTTTCAATAAATTATCACAAAAAAGGAGCAAATACACCAAAATAATTCCTTTCTTGTCTTAAAAAAGTATACATCTGAAATACCACTGTAAATGCAAATTGACTTGCCCCTGGAAATGGAAGAATAGGCAGATAAAGAACCCCAGTAAGTTGTTTTGCAGTAAATTGAATGAAACTGAGTTCTGATCCTTTTTTATGAAGCTACTGGGCTCCGACGAAGGGCTAACGCTCGAAACATCAGCTTTTGTAATCGTTACGGTGGCCAATTTACCATTTCAACTTTGTTGATATATCCAAATTATTTCGTTACTCCCACCGACGCAGCCCCAAACAGTTTCTTTCAAAACCATCAGCCTTTATTCAACTATAAAAGGGGATGTTCTGATAAGCCAATTGAAAATAACTTGCTTAAAAACTCTGGCTCCAAAGAAAGACTAGCATTTAATTTCACCTTACAACGTCACCCATAAATCAAACATTAAGGTAAAGATATTAAAAAAAAAAAAAAAAAATGATCACCAACAAAAGACACTCTTGATTGTTACACAAACTCTACTTGTAAGTACCCGTGATATGAAACATGTAAGGAATAGTAAGGAGAAAGTGCATACTGACTTTGCAATATATTAAATAATCCTTCACTGCAACTAATAATTAAATGTTGTAAAAAAAGAAAAAAAAACCTTCAGTTCATTCTCATTGGGTTAAAAATAGAAGTAAGAAATTTAATAGAAACTTGTAAAAGTGCTATTAATAATATAGTGAAATCCTCCCTAGTACATAGAATTAAATTTATAAGCAAACTCCAGTCTGTGTAAAATAAGTAACACATTTATTGCAAATCCTGTAAATTACCAAGTTTAAGTTTTCAATCAAATGCCTAGGACACCTTTCGTGTCAAAAAAGTTTGTTAAAAGCTTTCCTCTAAATGTTAGACATTGTTCCTCCATATTTTCTCTCAAGCACATCTTAAACTAGACCATTGATACTGTTGAAGGGGGGAAATTTCTAATGAAACTGTGGTGCTAAGCGGAGGTGAGAGGTTCATGGTTTTCCTGCTTTGGTTTTCACTTTTCAGTTCTTTAGCCACTCATTTCACCTTCATTTGGATCATTAATAACAGGGCTTTATGGCTTTTCTAGCTGTAATTATTTCATATTTAACTGATTGAAATTCAAGCCAGTTATCTGGTTTCTTACTTATCCTAACAGCCTGTTTCAGATGTTACTGATTCAGAGTTGTTGAAACAGAGCACAACTATAGTGTGATAGTATCAGAGGAGTGGAAATACAAGGGAGATTTGGCTCCAGCGTGTAATAAACATGACCCAACCCAAACCTCCCCCAATTTTTGCTCTGCTGTTACCACCACCTCTTCTCCAACTTTTACAATATTCTACTTGCTGAATGCATATATACCCAAATAAGCTCCCCCACCCCTCTCCCGACCAAATGGTTCTGTTTGCTTCCCAATACATTGCAAATTAATTTTAGTGTTTTCCCTCTATGTAATTTAGGTAACTAAGTTAGTTAACATAGGAAAGACCCTTTCACTCCAAAAGTGATCAAAAGGGAAGCTCTCCTTACATATTCAGTGCATTTCCAAGCATAAAACTGATGAGAAGAAAGCAAAGCATCAATCAACAAGCAGATAATGCTTGATGTAACGCCAGATTCTCACCACTAAATTTAATTAGAATGTGTGGCAGACAATGCTGAGAAATGAAAAGTAGATCATGGGAAAGAAGGGGTTTACTAAGATACTCCTAGTAATCATCTCCTCGGCTGATGACTTCTTTAACTGTTGGCCTCAACAGTATTGTGTGCTCAAACTGAGCCGTGTAACAACCTTTGATGTCACAAAGGGGTGGGTAGGAATCGACCACTCCTGCATCACAAAGGTTCTTCAGGGCTAAAAGATACTTTGTCTGCAAGGTGGAAAAAAAATCTTAGAGCAGAGTTTTTTTTGTAACCTTGTACTAGCACTATGCAGGTTTCAGTTTTTTAAGGGATTTTGCAAATTGTGCTTGATCTGCAAAAAGTAGAGTCCCACACACACACACAAAAAAAAAAACTGTAAAAAATTAGTCCATTGAAAACTTCATACAAGAAGGCAGGAATAAAGGTAGGCTTCTTTGTTTGATTCTGACACTTTGTCAGTCATTTTGGGCAGGAAGGCTGTAAGATTTAAGAGTATTAAGTGAAAAATTCCTGATTGTTTATCTGCCAAACTTCAAAGTCACATGTTAAAAATTCTGACCAATCAGCAAAAGGATACAGTGAACTTAACCAATAGGAAAGCGACATGTTTTCTCAGCTTTTTTTCCCTTGCACCAAATTAATTGTGAGGTTTTTGTAGCAGAGCCTGTCATTTTGTTGGGGACATCACTCGAAGCAACAAAAACAACTTTAGAAACGATTCTTAAAAAGATTAAATTATTGCTGTGCGAAGAGATAGATATTATTCTAACAATTTCAAGGTACATACCTGTCCCAACCGATCCAACCATCTTCTACAAAATGCCAGGGTCCCAAAGTTCTCATTGATGACATTCAGAAGTTGTTTAGCTCTGGGCACCCTTTGGAATGCAAAGTTGCCAAAAGGAGATAATACAAGTCAATAGCCTGCAGAGCAAGCATGATTTTGGCACCTGAGTGCTCAGTAATTTCTTGGTGATAACTATAGCTGCCAATTTTAATTTTTTTAAAGCATTAGAAAGATGGGGAGAGAAAGAAATTAGTACCCCGAGGGAGAGGGGGGGGGGGGAAAGCAATGGTCAAAAAAACAAAAAAAAAACATTTGTCCTCCCCCACCCCCTCCTCCCACAGTTCATTTAAAATCAAAATCAAACATGGCCTGCTGGATAAACACTTGACAGCATATAATGTTAATCAAATAAGACACCTATAATTATTACTGGCCAATAAATCAGGCTGGGGTTGTGCTCTATGAGCTCTCTGAGTCAGAGCAATTGATCGAACGGTTTTCAAGCCTTGTGTCTTCAAATCTTACCTCAAAGGAACATGTCCAACCTCAAAGTTCTTCATGTAGTGTGAACAATCCATGTCATCATGAACCATACCCTTTCCTGTACTACCAAATGTTTCAATAGCAAAGAATTCATTCTCCTAAAATTAAACAGCCCACATATATATAATTCAGTGATGCGTCAGTGCTTGAGGTGTAGACAAAGTTAAGCAGGAGAAACCTTGCAAAAATAATACTAAATGGTGCAATAGCTGCTCATGCATGCAAAAAGCACAACAAGTGTAGAGAGAGAGAGAGAGAAAACTTTCCGGTTTGAAGTACAATCATGAATAGCTATAAGAACATTTCAACATCATGTGATGAACACACATTCACCTCCATCTTTATAGCTTCTCCCCCTTTCACTATCGGAACTGTTTTTCCAGCATGGATCCTGTATGGTGCTACAGAATGACCATTCAGATTCCTGATGGGTTTAACTATTGAGAAAAAACATAAACTTGCATATTACAGGGTTTGTACACTATTTCAGGCCAAAGATTCAAGGACTTTTCAAGGACTTTCCAGGACCCTACTTAGAAATATCAAGGACTTTTTGTAATGACAATTTTACCTCAAAACCAAGAAAAATATTTCTGTTAACATCTATGTTTTGGGTTTACTGATGGTGCAAAACAAAAGTAGATAATTATTTTTCGATGTTGTTCAATAAAAAATCAAGGACTTTCAAGGACCCAAAATGAAATTCAAGTACTTTCAAGGCCTTGGAATTGGCCTCCTGAAATTCATTAGGGTTTTCAAGACACGTACGAACCCTGATATTAGGAAGAGTTTCTTATAAAGACTAATTTTTTTATTCCTGAAAATTCAGTATTCAAACCTTGGTAAGTTTTTCCGTCCAGCTCAACCTCATAGGATTCCATCACTTCTTGTATAGCTTCACCAACATCACAGAGCCTCACATCAATTCCGGCTTCCTGTATAGAAATACAGACAATTTCATTTTATGCAAGTGTCTTCTTTTCTAGTCTCCATCAAAGTTGTTCGTTGGGATATTCTCCTGTAAGAAGCATTGCAAAAAATACTTAGAATAGACTACAAGAAGTCGTTCCTCAGAAAATTGATGGTAGAACACCACAAGGAAATCTGGGAGTGAGGTGCCCAAAAAAAACGCTTGCTGTCCCTTTTTTTTTTTATAATAAAACTTCTTGAAATCTCTAGAGTAAGTTGAAAATTCACTTTGAAAACAAGGCAAAACAAAGACATCCACCCAAAATTTTTGAACTCAATGATTCTAATATTGCACCCTTATTCCAGTATTTGTGGCATCTTTCACTGCAGCAAGCAGGTTGTCATATTTGGGGTTAAATGACACAGTGAAGGCGCAGTCTATGATTCTCCCTGAAAAAAAAAAAAAATAATCAATCAAAAGAATTTCATATTAAATAGATTTATCTCTTTCATACCCCGGGCTTCAATTTCTGCTTCAACAAACAAAAGGGTTTTTTTTTTTAATAACAATGCCAAAAAAGCAAAAATTACCTGCAACATATATTCATACTTGGTATAATTTCAGAGCTGAGCAAAGAGTTTCCAGCAATCAGATTGGTTGAGTGGTTCCTTATATGATGCTAAATAAACCGCTCCACGCGAACTAAATGCATGCTTATCGGTAGTAATAGGAAATGCGAAAGCAAAGTAGATTTGTCTGTTTCAATTTTAGATCACAGTATAAGTAATGTTCGCAGCTTTAAATACCTCAGTATACATATATCTTCGGATTTCACATGGACTGATCATATTGAACACCTAACTGGGAAAATCAATCAGAGGCTTGGGCTTCTCAAGCGTATAAAGCATTCATTGCCTTTCAGGGCGCGTTTACTTTTCTATAAAGGTCTTGTTATGCCCCTTTTT